AGTGACGTTTAAGGGCCCGGAGATCACGAGCATCCAGTAGAGTTTTACGGCCTTGACCCTTACGCACAGCGATTGTTCCAGATTCTCTGAATCTTTTGATGATGTTATGCACAGTTGATGATGATAACTTAAAAGTCTTTGCTATTTTACGCTGGGTAGCACCATTCTGGTATTGCTGCACTATCTTTCTGCGCAACAATGGTGGAATTGGTGATCCTCTTACCATCTTGGCTTCTGAGAGACACTGACACTCTGAGAAGCTCTTTTTATACCCAATCATGTTGTCAATTGACCTAATTAGTGTTAATTGGTCTTCCAGCTGTTTGTTATATGCTCAATTTCCTTTTTCCAGCCACTTATTGCTACTTGTCCCAACTTTTTGGGATTTGTTGACACTGTGAAATTTTGAATGAACATATTTTTCCTTTAAAATGTTACATTTACTCAGATTAAACTTTTGATCTGTCATCTATGTTATATTACGAATAAAATATTGACATTTGCCATCTCCACATCATTGCATTCAGTTTTTATTCACAATTTGTTCAGTGTCCCAACTTTTTTGGAATCCAGTTTGTATAAGGAGGTGCAGCATAGAGCAAAGAGGGAGGTAACAAAGGTAAGCGGAAGGCGTATGATGAGTTGTATGGGAGGCTGGACACTGAAGAGGGTGAGACGGATGAGAACCATTTATCAGAAATATTTAGTTGCTGTTATTGCTGCACAGGGAGGTCACACCAGATATTGAAAGCAAAAGTTCACATACTTTTGCCACACAAATGTGTAATATTGCATCATTTTCCTCAGTAAATAAATGACCAAGTATAATATTTTGTCTCATTTGTTAAACTGGGTTCTCTTTATCTACTTTTAGGATTTGTGTGAAAATTTGATGATGTTTTAGGTCATATTTCTGCAGAAGTATAGAAAATTATAAAGGGTTCAGAAACATTCAAGCACCACTGTGTCTTGAAACCAGAAACAAGCTCATGCCTAGGTGCTTCTGATAAATTAGTGTCTCTGAACACATAAAGCATTGCAGTTTAATGCACATGGATGGAATTGTGGAGCCACAAAGCAGTCAGTCAGTGTCCTCTGCAATCAACAGCAGTAGAACCAAACCATAGAGCAGTGGAAGAAGGTGGCTGGGTCTGATGGTTGTGTTGATTTTGTTTACTAACAGGAAAAGAGAATGTTTCCTGTCATTCATAACTATGTATGATATTTATTATAAGAAATGTCTCTTAAACGTTGATGATCACTTCTTTATGAAAATGTTGTGGCTTTATGGTTTTTGTCTCTTTTAGCAGGATCAACACTTTTAGCAACACTGCCTGATTTTTAGTGGGTAAAGTAGAGTGCAATTCCCATACAAGATACTGGGTGACAATATAATTGATATGTTAGTTATAAATATGGTGAGACTTCATATGTAAAGCACTTTTTTTCCAAGTGGAAAGATGGAGAGGTGGAAAGATAAAACATATCTGTGAAATTTTTCATCCCCCCCTCCCCCAAACAATTTTATTTTGTTAGAAAAAGTATCTTTAAAAAGCAGAGTTTTAACTAAAACACTTTTTTTTCTGAATTTTTATCAAATCTTGTCAAAAATTACTACATTTGAATATTCTATCGCATTCTTGACATTTTAATTAACTACTCTATGGAAAGACAATTTTATGTGGAAAAATGTGGTTACATTATAAAACATTGAATAAAAAAAAACTACTGAACAGAATCTGGGGTGAAAACTGATTTTTATAGGGCCCTATTAGTTGTTTATTGTCACAAGATGCATTGCAAACCCAATGAAAAAATAGAGAGTAAAAGATGAGGAAAATACATTTGTCCAGATTTAATAATTGTACATAAGAATGCAGATAATAAAACTGCACCACTGAACAACTATGTTAAGTAAGCCATAAAAATGTCAGAAAATTCAAAATGGGAAAACTTGAATTGAGTATGTGCTGAGTATTATTTAATTCTGCCAACAGTGACCCCCCATACAACACCATGGATTTCAAGTTGTCAAAGAACTATACTTTTGGCAGCACAACAGTTCAGTGGTTAGCACTTTTACCTTATAACAAGAAGTCCTGGGTTCAATTCCTGGTTTGGTTGTAGGCTCTTTCTGCGTGGAGTTTGTATGTTCTTGTGTTTCTCTGGGTACTTCAGTTTCCTTCCAAAGTCCAAACACATGCATGTTAGTTGCCTTCAAGCCCAGGCCTCCCTTGCAAAAGAGATATGTGATCTCAGTAGGATTTGCCTGGTTAAATAAAGGTAAAATAAAATAAAAAATAAAAGTTTTGGTTTTGTTAAACTCTCCAAAAAGTAAGTCATTGAACTAAAATCTGGATTTGTTAGGAAGAAAGTTGTAATTATCTGTATTATTGTGCATTGCATGTGATCCATGTGTCATACTACAACTTTCTGTGTAATATGCATTTCATCAAAGTGGAATTGAACTTGTCATTTTCAGGAGGCAGAAAACAAGTTGTAAATAAAAACTCAAGAACATTAAAAATTATTTTGTTAAAAACAAAAAACCTTGTGGGTTGTAACCCACAGGTCTGTGGCTCCTGGGCTATCCCAGTTGATCTTGGTCTAAAATATTTTTTCTTATCCTTTCTCATTCTTTTCCTTACCCCGATGTTCCCATCTTTTCTTCCTTTCTTGCATTCTCGCCTCATCTCCCTCCCCCATGTCTCTCTCTGTAGGGAAAAGTGGCCCAGACAGCTTGCATGTCAGCTTGTAAGCATCTGTCCACGTCACTGATGCAGATGCTGCTGGACACAGAACTTAAGCAGATCAGTATGGGGGCCATTCAGCAATTCAACTTAGATGTTATACAGTGTGAATGTGAGTATAAAGAAATGTACAACTGAAATGAAACTAGACTTTTTAATTACTTTGATCCAAATCAGATTGTTTGATGTGATGTTTTATGGCAAAACAACTGTACAATTAATATGTTCCTTGTAGAGGTAAAAATGAGACCCTGTGTTTCCCAAAGCTGTCCCTTGATCCCAACCTGCATCAGGAATTAGCTCAACTCTGTGCTGAGAATGTGGACAAACATCTTGATTGAGACCACATAGCCTGCAAGAGTGACTCCAACACCCTGTTCTCCATCATCAGCCCCAAATAATGCCCTGGGGGTCGTGGATATGGTGGTGCTAGGGTGACGGTGTTAACCATTTTTGCATCCAACTGATATTCATAAAATTGATTCCTCTTCTCCTGATTCTTTATAAAATGACGAACATTATAGACAACCCTCAGCATCCTCTTCATCAGACTGTCATACAACAACAGAGTGTCTTCAGTCAGAGGTTTCTTCACATCCGCTGTAAGACAGACGCAGCAAGAGATCCTTCCTGCCCACAGCATCAGCATCTAGAACAACTCTTTAATGAAACCAGGATGATGAGTTACCACAACATTTAATTTCCCTTTGGCATTAATAAAATATTTTTGAATTGAACTGAATTGAATGTAATGTCAACCACATGGCAGTACAAATTGGTGGAAAAACACCCTCATGACCCTAACAGCAATGCTTCAACTAAAGATCTGGTTCACTGTTCCAGGAGCACACTATCTGGTGCCTTTCTTTTTATTGTGACCACCGCCCTGGTCCACAACTTCACACGTGTTATTCTGGTTGTCAGTGAAACACTGAAGAGGTGTCTCATCCAAATTAACCCCACAACATTTTTTAGCCTTTAGTATGTCAACGCAATCTCAACACTCTACCCACCTGCAGACCCTATTGACTTAGATTTTAATACAGAGCCTTGTAGATTTTACTAGGGGTTTCAAATTTTAATACCACAGTGTCAAAATAACTGTGTGCAGCAACTTGAAAAATATTTTAAAAATCCAGGTGAGAAAAAACATTTGATTTCTGTGTTCCAACTTAAATATCTACATACTAGTTATAGTTACAATACTTTTGACTGCAATGAAAAATATTTTAATGTTCACAAGGAGAACTTCTGCACGCACTTCAAAGGTGGATCACTTCAAGTTAGATCTTATTACTCCAACATTTTTCAGTCAGGTCATCTGGACAGTTTCTTTTTTTGTGCTGAAACGTTTCACCTTCGATCCAGAAGGCTTCATCAGTCAAGGAAACACACAACAAAACTGATTCTTCCCCCAACAGCTTACTCGAAAGTGGAACAAACCAGTTATGTTGATGCTAAGATGGTCTCTTTGCCACGCCCCCCACTGGTTTGTTCCACTTTGGAGTAAGCTGTTGGGGGAAGAATCAGTTTTGTTGTGTGTTTCCTTGACTGATGAAGCCTTCTGGATCGAAGGCGAAACGTTTCAGCACAAAAAAAGAAACTGTCAGATGACCTGACTGAAAAATGTTGGATTGTATACCTGGATTATTGAGCATGGACTTTGTAGATCTTATTACTGTTTTTCTTTTACATTTTATTGTTGGATGTAACTGGGACCCTGCGTACACAATTTCCTTCCCCCACATGTACCACATGTGGTGCGTATGACAAATAAAGAGACTTTGACTTTGAAAGGGTTAAATAACAGCATCTAATTTACATTGGTTATGCTTTTTCCAGGTTTTTAAGCATTTTGAGGGGGACAGTTGATTAAATGTTATAAAGCCATTGCAATGAGATACAGATATAAGGTCATTATATTTAACAAGCTGTTTGAATGTTTCTCAAAACCTTTAAAGAATTGATTCTGTTTTTCTATTTTCTTAGTGTTTGCCAGCTCAGAGCCAGTCCCTGGCTTCCAAGGAGACACACTCCAACTGGCATTCATTGACTTACGACAGGTACTTCACAACTGAGATTTAAAGCACCTTTATGTTCTTTCTTTGAAGTCTTCCCCACACAGTAAAGGTGATGTTTAATGTCCCAGCTTTTATGAAAATCAAAATAGTTACATTTTATCAGCTCTGGCAAGTTTCAAGTGTCTGTTGACAGGGTTGTTCGAGAAAGGAGCAGATGTTTGAAGCTGTGTTAATATTTGAAAAGTGGACCAGAGTGGGCTTGTGGTTAAAACTATTCTGTCCTCAGCTTTCAGAACTTAAAGTTCAGTATTCATTTTGAACCTTGGTGTATGTTTTATTAGCGTTTCGTTTTTATTCCTTTTATTTATTTATTTTGTTTAGCTCCTGGACCTGTTCATGGTGTGGGACTGGTCTACTTACCTGGCAGACTATGGCCAGCCAAACTCAAAGTACCTGAGAGTGAACCCAGCCACTGCTCTGGCTCTACTTGAGAAGTAAGTGCACTTCTACACCAGCTGCTATGAAGCAAATCTTATAGAGATAGAACATATTTATTTCTATAAAAACATAAACACTAGAACTGGGTGATATATCAAGATTTAAAAAAAATATTGATATATTTTCAAACAAGATATGAGACTATATGGTTTATATCCATAAATTCAATGTTGTGGTATAATTATACTTGTAGATCTGCTAGTTTGCCTTTTTCTCCACCTGGCCCTGCCTCTCCCTTCTCCACCCTCCCCCACCACCTCACTTGACAGACATATCAACACCTTCGAATGTTTACCACTATACGGACCTCCAGAAATCCTTAAAATTCATAAAATATCCTTGTTGTTCTCACATGACAAACTTTATTTATACACATTTATGCATCAAGTACACAAAAAAATAGAAAATACAGTTTAAGCTACATGCCCGCTTTTACTAAACAGATATTGTTGGATCAAAGTCTTTTTTATTGTTTTTAATAACACACAACATAAAAAAAACATGCAACAAAAACAAACCAAAAAAGCCTCCCACCCTGACCCTCCTATACCAGATTGGCTGACCAGGCACAGATATATTTATACAGGCACTGACATACTTTCAATATAAGACAGAAATGGCCGCCACGTGTCCCAAGATTTTCCAACAGATCCCCTCACAGTGTATCTGATCTTTTCCAAGTGAACAAGACACACAACTTCTCTGATCCAGTGTTCATATGCTGGAGGATAGGGGAGTGGTGGCGCAGAGGTTGGAAAAGATGGGCCAGTGATCGGAAGATCGCCGGTTCAAGCCCCGGTACCGACAACATCAAAAATGTGGGTGGGGTAGGTGAAGCACCCATATCTGCCCCCACCCTCATTTGTCCCACTCTGGGCCCTTGAGCAAGGCCCTTAACCCCCACCATCTGCTCCTCCTGGTGTCCTAGATGCAGCTCTCTGCTCCACACAGAGGGCTGTGGTAGCTCGGTGGTTTGTGGTTGCGTCAGGAAGGAAATCCGGCGTAAAAATAACTGCCAAGTCTTCGTGCAACTTGGTTCGCTGTGGCGACTCCTACTGCAGGGAGCAGCTGAAAGAAGAAAAATAAATATACCGGAGGATGCAGATCCTTCCAGCTGCATAAAGTAAGTCTCCTGGCTAGAAGAGAGCCAAAAGCAATCGTATTCCTCTCGTACTTGCTGAAGGTTGTGTCCTCAGGGACCACCCCAAACAATGAAATGAATCATGACGGGCACACAGTTTGTCCACATATCCCAGAGAATGTATCATAAATAGATTAGATAGATCCACAGCTTTGGACAAGTCCAGAATGTGTCAGAGCGTAGCTGGCATTTGTTTACAGGGATTACATGCAGGAGCCAGGTCAGTTTTAATTTTGGACTTTGTGTTTGGACCAATGCAGCCTGTGCACCACCTTGAAATGAATTACAGCATGTCTCAGACAGTTGGAGGATGAACAAATGTTCTGAATGATCTTTCACCAGATTGAGTCTGACATGGATTCCTCCAAGTCCGTTTCCCATTTCAGTTTAAGAGAATCCAAGCTGGTCTCGTGGTATGAACTGAGCACTGTATAGATCTTGTTGAGGGCCCCCTTTGTGTCGGACCTGCACTCCAAAAATTTAACCACACAATGTTTAGAGGAGTACAAAGAAAAACAATCAGAGTTAGACCTCACTAAACGGACATTTGCTGGTTATGCTATAGCATTTATATGAACTGTGGTTTTACCCAGCACGTTTCTTACTTGTATGAAGGAAATGCATAGAGTTAACTTGTCTTCTGTAAAGTCAATGAAAAGCACAAGTCAAATACAAACCGGATTCCAAAAAAGTTGGGACACTAAACAAATTGTGATGTGGAGGTGACAACATCTAATATTTTATTTAGAATAGAACACAAATCACAGATCAAAAGTTTAAACTGAGAGAATGTATCATTTTAAGGGAAATATCTGTTGTTTCCAAATTTCATGGCATGAACAAATCCCAAAAAAGTTGGGCAAGTCCATTTTTACCACTGTGTGGCATCCCCCCTTCTTCTTACAAC